ACTTCTCTTCTCTTAAGATCTTTCAAATATTGCTGACTGCTTCAGCAATCACTTCCAACAAACAATTCTTTCAATACTCAAGGGTATATGGTTCATGGGGCACAGGTGACTTGGATTTATCAAAAACAGCTAAATTCTCTCTTATTACCTCCTTACTAAGCATTGATCTTTGCAGTCCAAAGATCATTTTTCTTGATAGAGAAAACAAAAACAAGAGCAGAACTGAGCAGCTCTTCTCTCTTTTGTGAGTTAGCATCGTCCCATTCGCCTCAAGAAGCGGCCCCATTCCTTCTCTTGTCTTCTGCTTTTCCCCAAGGTAGATTCAAAACGATATTTTTTTGTTGTCCTTTCCTTCCCATCCTCCACTTCATTCTGAGCATTAGCACTCCTGGCACTATTCTAATAGGACAAGGATGCTTTCATGTTCATCTGTTTCTTCTGTCTTCTGTATTTATATTTTAAACACCTAAATTAGTTGGCAAGCTCTCCATGTGTTCACATAGGCCTCTTCAAACAACTACAGTTTCTCTTACCGTGTGCCCCATATAGGACATCCCAATTCTTGCCTCTGTACCTTTACCCAGGCTAAAATAATCTTCCCTTTCACTTCTGCCTCTTGGAAATCCTAGCTCCCTTCAAAGCTCAACTCAAGTACTAGCTCCTTTAAGAGGTCTTTCCTGGGTCCTACAATTGTTGGCACCCTCCCCCTATGAAATAATTGTGCATTTATGTTGTATATATCTTGTGTTTACTTATCCCTGAATATACTGTAGCCTCCTAGAAGGAAGTAAGCTTCTTGAGGGCAGGGACTGCCCAACTTTTGTATCTCTGACACCTAGCACAGTGCCTGGTAAACAGTAGGTGCATATTGATTATTTTTTCATCCTAGTTTTTTTTTCTGCTTTGAGTCTTTATAATTTGATTCTTGAGAGTTTCCCAATTCCCTGGGCTATCAATGTACGATTTTAATTCATGGGATCCTACCTATCCTTCCTTTGAGTCCTTTGAAATCACAGACTCTTAACAGAGAATAGTTACTTCGCAGGATTTCCATCATTTCCACCCCTGCAACCAGTTCTTTTCTACTGGTGATAATCATACCCAGAAATGTTGGCTCCTCTGCCTTTTAAAGGATGAAATTACCATTAAAACCAGTCAAGAACTTATTAACTCCTTTGATTTTGGCAGACAGATGGACAGAGAAAGAGAAGGAGAGACAGAGGAGAGGAAGGAAGGGAGAGAGACATCAGTAGGTGTCTGGACTATTAAAATCTCCACTACCACTATATTATGCCTCTATGCCACACTTATGCCCTTTTTACTGAACTCCTTATCTATTTCCTCTTTCTGTCCAAGTGGTCTGTAGCATATTCCCATGATAAGAACATTCTTTTCTTCCTCCAATGATCTTTACTCAAATGATCTCGACCATGCTTCCCTAGACTCTAGTTCTGGATTTCCTCTTAAGACATAATGCTAACCCCACTGTATCTCCACTTTCACTTATCCAATTCTTCTTAAGAGTATGTACCTATGAGACAAATTCTAGGTATGGATTTCATTCTACCAAATCTCAATGATATATATGATATCAAATTTATCTCCTCATGTTAGGGCCTCTAGTTCATCTCTTGTTCCCTAAAATCTAGGCTTTTGAAAATAAACTTTAGAGGCCATAGGTTTTACTATTTTTTAGGTTTTGTTTCTTATGAGCTTCTTATGTCTCAACATACTACTTTTCCTTCATTTCAGCTTCTTTCCATGGTATCTAACTCGGTGGATATATATAATGTCTTCTCCCATCCTCTTTAGTTTAAAGTGCCTTTGATTAGATTTGCAAGACATAAGGCAGACACATTCTTACCTGCTTTTGTAGGTGGATTCCACCCTGACTATGAATCTGCATTCCTGTATTTTAAGCCATGTTTCAGAAACATAAATCCTATTCTCAGACACTGTCTTCTTAACCAGCTGCTCACCTCCTGATTAGCTTTTCTTTTCTGTGTCTTTTGCCTTCAGTGGATAGCAGTGATGAAAACACAACTTGTGCCCCTAAGGTCTTCAGTTTCTTGCCCAAGACTACACAATTTTTTGGCAATTGTTTTTAAATTTCTTCTGGCAGTACCATTTGTACCCACATGAATTACCAGATGTGGGGAGTAGCTATTTGTTTTGACAACTTCTCTGTTATCTCTTGGATACATGCTCCAGGAAGACATCAAGCCTCTCTAGTGCTATTGGGTTGACAGATAACTGCCTCAATTCCCTTCAGCAGGCAGTCACCAATCACCACTACTCTCATCTTTGTCTAATCTTTACTTCTGTCCTCTGGAGGCCAAGCAGAACATGTCTAGTCTCTCTTCCACATGACAAACCTTTCAAATACACTAAGACTGTTATTATGTCTCCTGACCTCTTATTTTTCACAGGGAAACATTTCCAGTTCCTTCAACTGATCCTTGTATGGCATGGTCTTGAGGTCCGTTTTTTAAAAAAACATTCTGGCTTTCCTAAAATGTCATATTCAGAACTGAATATACTAATTCCATATGGGGTGCAATCAGTGCAGAGTACCATGGAACAATCAACTCCTTTATACTCTACACTGTCTCTATTAATTCAGCTGAAGATCATATTAGCTATATGCCATATATTTATCCTATACCATATCAGATATATGCTATACCTCACAGTTGACTCATACTGAGTGCAATTCATAAAAAACTTCCATATCTTTTTTTCAGATGCATTTCTACTTAGCCATACTTCCCCCATCTTGAACTTGTAAAATCGGTCTTTTATCTTTATCTTTATTCCTAATACATCTTTCCATAATTCCATGATTTCTTCTTATTAGGTTGGTTCAATGATCTTTTAGATTCAGAATCTGTCATTCAGTATTATCATTCCCAGCTTTGGGTTATTTGCAAATTTGATGAGCATGCCATCCATTCCACCTGAGTGCTAAGCCTGAGGCTCATCCAAGTTATTGACAAAAATGTTAATTACAATTTAACGGAGATGTCCAGTGGGAGTGTTCCAGGGATCTGTGCTTGTTTATGCTATTTAATTTATTTTTTTATCAATGATTTGGTTAGAATACTAGGTTAGAGAAGCTTCCTGAGACAAGCCATTATTTTAATGACCCCCCCCCCCACTGTTTTTCTGGGTTGTTTCATTTTTTTTAGAGTTGCTGTTATAAACTCCTAATATGTGCTTGATATTAGATTTGGTTATCCTATGATTTCTGTCTTGACTCTGCATGACCTCCAATTTACTTTCTCAATCAGAACTTGGAAAATATCATCTTAATCACTAGCAGCACTTGGACCATTCCTTCTCATGGGCAGGGACATGTTCTAGCTCTGAAATTCTGTTTCAAGGCTCTTTCTAGTTTTAACATTCTATGTTCCAAGGTCCCTTCCAATGCTAATATTCTTATGTTCTAAGGTCACTTCTAACATTCTATATTCCAAAGTTCTTTCCAGCTCTGACATTCGGTGTTCTAAGGCCCTTCCAGCGCTGAAATTCTGTGTTCTAAGGTCCTTTCCAGGTCTCACATTCTCTGTTCTAAGGTTCTAAGGTCCCTTGCAGCCCCCAAAGTCTGTGCTCTATGATCTCCTCTAGCTCCAACATTCTATGTTCTAAGGTTCCTGCTCTGACATTCTATAATTTTGAAGTTTTTCTTACACAGGTGTTCTGTTTTCCTTTCTCTTTGATTCTGCATACTTCACGTCTCCCTCTAAGAGTATATTTCTCTCTTTTCTACCTATACGAATCTTTGCTAACCTTCAAAACACAGGTAAGTCAGCTCTCTTCCACAAAGCCTTCTGAGACTACTCCAGGTCACATTTACCTCTTCGTCCCCCTCTGTCTACTTTTCCAACATTTGCCATCTGTATCATTAATTGAGTCATCCTTTTGTACTGCCCTATGACATCTTTGTTAGTATCTCAAACTGTTATTTATATTTGTATTGACCTTTCACAGAATATATAGCACTCTTATTTACAAAACACTTTATACTCGTGATTTTATTACATCCTCACAACAATCCTATGAGGCACCAGTGAAAGTATTATTATCCCTATTTTATAGAAGAGGAAGCTGAAGGTCAGAGAGATTAAGTCCAAGGCACATAGTTATTAAGTTTATAGTCTTTTCTCCCCAAGTAGACTATAATCTCCTTGAGGGCAGGACCTTTGTTACATATGTATTTGTATTTGCCATAGTGCCTAGCGCAAGGCCTTGCATACATTAGTTGTCAATTAGATTTAATTCAATAAAACTTTATTAAGCACCTACTTGTAGAGCCCTGTGTTAGGCACTAGATCAGGGATGAAGACAGTCCATACACTCATGGAGCTCCTGACATAGTCATGGAAGGCAACACATGCACTTATTTCAATATATCAAAGACCCACTGATTTAAAATTGGCAGATCTTCCCAGTGATTCTGATTGCCACCCTACGAGCTGCAGAGCTGAGAAAAATTCATCCCCTTTTCTGGCCAGGAGGCTCTCTGCACTTAGTTAGGCTGGTCCTCTGATGATGGACACCCAGTTCATTGCCAGGCACATCCTTGAAGCCTACAAAAACTTGTGTGCCTTTGGCACACTCTTCAAGGATTTGGGGTCACTTCTAAACCATGATGGGGCATCTGAGGAGGATTTCAGTGTAGGGACACATATACCTATAACTCTATAATACAATAGCTCACGGTAAGCTGGTTAGGGAAATGCAAACAAAGGTCTTTGACGTGTGGTTGAGGGGAAGAAGGTCGTTATTGACTGGGACAAAGAGGGAAGGCTTCACAGAGAAGCTGACACCTGAGGTGGGCTTTGAAGGAAGGGTAAGGTGTCAGTAGGCAACAGTGTTGGTGGGGGTGGAGGCAGGCAGGCTCTACTGGTTTAGAGGGTGGAGTGAGCAAAGGCCATCAAAAATCAGAACAGTTGAGAGCTAGTGTGGGACAGTGGCATTTCCAACAGAGGACAGCTTACCTAGAGGTAACAAGTTTTCCGATGCATTGATAAAAACAACAGCGTCAAAGTGCCTGAAGTCCTTTTCCTTAGCCTGGAGGGGTGGGGTGACAAGACAAAACAAAGCAAAGCACAGTATTATTTCCATTTCAGGAAAAGTCAGTGGGCTTTAAGGGCAATGTTCTGTGGAAAGCTGTGTCTTCTTAAGGATAGTAGAACTCTGTTATAAAGCAGTTTACTCTTCCACAAATCTAATTACTCTCCTAGTCACATCAGGGTCCCTGTGTACATAATTCTGTAGGGGCCATTGCACTCAGTATAATAGGGAAAGCCTGAAAAGAGGGGTGCGGATCATACTGGGTGAAATTCTAGAGGGGTGGTATATAACAGAAAGAATGCTGGACTGCTGGGTTTAAATTTTGGCTCTGCCATTTATAACCTGTGTGTTCCTGGGCAACTGACCCCTTCTCCTTGGCCAGGCAAACCTCTCTACATGTACCCTCAGTCCCACCCCATCCCATTCCACCTTCTTTGGCAGATTGTTCCCACCTTCTCTCTAATCTTCAGTCTCTCCTTAGCTACTAGCCCCTTCTCTGCTGCCTTCCCCACCTTTAAACCCCTCCCCACTTGATATGATGATGCCCGCCGGTTATCTTCCTAGGTCTCTCTTCTCTCTTTCTCTATTACATTCCTTGGGAAATCCAACTATACTCGATGCCTCGATTTCCTCTCTTCTCATCCTCTTCCACATTCTCTGCATCTCATCATTCAACTGAAACTGCTCTTCCCAAAGTTACCAGTGATCTAACCTAGTGGTCTTTATCCTTCTCGACTGCGCTGAAGCCTCTGATACTGTTAGTCATTTTCTTCTCCTGGATGTTTTGTCCTCATTAGGTTTTCATGACATAGCTCACTCCTGGTTTTCCTCCCATCTCTCTGACCACTCTTCTTGGTCTCCTTTGCTACATCTTTATCCAGGTGATACCCATTAACCATCAATGTCCCCCAAGGCTATGTCCTGGGCCTTCTCTTCTCCCCCTATACTACCTTGTTTGCTGGTGTCATCAGCTCCCATGGGGTCAATTATCATGCATTTATTCACATAATTCCTAGATTTATATAGCCATCCTGAGTTTCTCTCCTGAGTTTCAGTCTCACACCATCAAGTTACTTTTAGACTTCTTGAATCAGATGTCTTACAGATATCTCAAGCTCAGCATACCCAAAACAGAGCCCCTTATCTTTCCAAAACCTCCCTCTTCCTAGCTTCCCTATTACTGTTGAGGGCACCGCCATCTTCCTCACATATACAATCTATTGCTGAGTCTTGTTATTTCTACCTTCACAATATCTCTTGTCTATCATCCCATTTTCTCTACTCACATGGCTACCATTTTGGGACAGGCTCTCATCATTTTGTGCCTGAATGATTATTGTACTAGTCTTCTAATTGGTCTCTCCTGCCTCAGTCTCTCCTTACTCCAATGCATCCTTCAATTAACTGTATTTTCCTAAAGTGCAGGTTTGATCATGTTACCTCTCTACTTAATAAATCCCAGTCACTTCCTATTAACTCCAGTATCAAGCAAAAACCCACTATTTTGCTTTTAAAATCATTCACAACACGGCCTTTCCTACCTTTCCAATCTTCTTACTTCTGACACCCCCTTCCTCTGCACAATATTCTTCTATTCAGAGATACTGGTCTGGTTCCTCAGACAAGTCAACAAGCATTTATTAAGTGCCCACTATATGCCAGGCACTGTGCTAAATGCTGAGGATGCAAAGAATGGCAAAAGACAGTCCCTGCTGTCATAGGAGCTCACGCTCTAACAGGGGAGACAACATATAAACAACTATGTGCAAATTAAATAAACTGGAGAAAATCAGCTGAGGAAAGGCACTAGCATTAAGGGAGACTGGGAAATGCAGAAGGTGGGACTTCCATGTTCCTTACCTACAACACTCTATCTCCTGACTCTGTGTGTTTGTACTGGTCATTCCCCATACCTGGAATGTTCTCCCTCCTCATCTCTGCTTCCCTGGCTTCCTTTAAGACTGTGCTTAAATCCAACCTTCTGGAGACTTTTCCTGGTTCTCCACCCACCCAGGTCTTCCCCTCCTCCTACCCAAGTGCTAGAGTCTTTCCTTTGAAATCACTTTACATTTACTTTGTATATATCTTCTATTTAGTTACATAGTTATTTGCATGTTGTTCCATTAGACTGTGAACTCCCTGAGGGCAGGGACTAAGTTTTTGCCTTTCCTTGTATGCCCCAGGCACAGTGCCTGGCACACAGTAGGCATTTAATAGATTCTTTTTGGCAGACAACCAACAAGAATCTCTGGGCTTCAGTTTACGCAACTATCAAAATGTAGAGATTGGACTAAATAATCTGTAAAGTTCCTTTTATCTCCAGAGCTTAAAGATCTGACTTCTTTTCTCTGTTCTGCCACTTAAGCAAACCCTTTAAATTTCCCTGAGTCTCAAGTTTCTTTATCTGCAAAATGGGACAGCCAAGTCTTATATGACTGATTTCACTGAATCATTGTGAGGAAATTATTTTTTAATTCTTAAAGCATTATAGAAATTTGAGCAATGTGATTTACTGTGCTTTTTTGAGTCTCTATTTCCTTATCCGAAATTGGGAATAATACTTTCACTACCTACCTTGTAGGGTGTTTTTAATAATATCTCGGACAAATCATTTAAACCTAAGTTTCAATCTCTTCATCTATAAAAAATGACCATAATAATTCTTCCTGTACTTACCTACTGGGTAGGATTATTGTGAAGATCAAAAGAGATATTTGAGACAGCTCTATAATGTGCTATATAAATATGAGGGATTATTGTACAATTTGTCTAATGTCTAACATTTGGTATGTCCTTTCCCCTCCCTGTTTTGAATGCAATTCAGCATTGTACCAATCTGTTCTAATACACACCATTGTTCCAGAGCAAGTGTTACCAACCTAAGGTTTCAAGCAAGTGTTACCAACTTGAGGTGTACTTGAGGTATATATGAGAAGCATATCAAGGGGGTAAAGGGAACTATTGAATAAATAATTATATTAGCCTATTGAACTTAATTAATTGCTTTATTTTATTTCTTATGTGCATGTGCATGACAAACTCTAGAATGTATTTCCTTTCCTACAAGGGTCACAGGGATGGAAAAAGATTAGGACTTGTTCCAGAGCATAGTAGAAGTGGACAAAGTTTCCTGTTCCCACCTTTAGAAATGTTGAGAACACTTAACAATTAGAGGAAGGCCCTTCAGGAGAGGGAGCAAGGAGGGAATGAGTGATTTTTAAAAGTATTTATTTATTTATTTATTTTCAGTTTTCAACATTTGAAAGCTTTTCAACATTTGAAGCCTTTGGACCAATCTAGAAGAGAAATTCTTTTCAGTTTTTCATTAACCATCAATTGCTAAACAATGTCTTTGCTCCCCTTTCTGCAAGTTTTCTCTTGAAGTAATTAATAGTGCACCAACCCAACAAAGACCAGGGTAAGGGATCCTTTTTGATCTATCTGAAGACATGGCCCACCCAAGGGCAGTGCCCCCTTTTCCATCTCCTGAAAAGATTAGGGTATCAGAAAGGAGAGATCCCTTGATTAAGTTAGGTAACCTTGGGGGTAAGAGTGGGAGGAAGGCCCTTCAGGAGAGGGAGCAAGGAGGGAATGAGTGATTTTAAAAATCATTTATTTATTTATTTAGTTTTAGTTTTCAACATTCACTTCTATAAGATTTTAAGTTTTAAATTTTCTCCCCATTCTTCCCCAAGATGATGTGCAATCTGATATAGGCTCTACTTATACATTCACATTAAGCATATTTTCACATTAGTTATGATATAAAGAAGAATTAGAACTAATGAGATGAACCATGAGAATGAAGAAACAAAACAAAACAACAAAAGAAAAGGAGAGCAAATGGTATGCTTCCATCTGCATTCAGATTCCATAGTTCTTTCTCTGGATGTGGATAGCATTTTCCATCATGAGTCTTTTGGCGTTGTTTTAAATTCTTGCATTGCTGAGAAGAGCTAAGTCTATCAAAGTCAGTCATCGCACAATGTGACTGTTACTGTGTACAATGTTCTCCCGGTTCTGCTCATTTCACTCAGCATCAGTTCATATAATTCTTTCCAGGTTTTTCTTAAGTCTATCTGCTCATCCTTTCTTATAGCACAATAATATTCCATTACATTCATATGTCACAACATGTTCAGCCATTCTCCAACTGATGGGCATCTCCTCAATTCCCAATTCTTTTTTTTTGGTGAGGAAATTGGGGTTTAGTGACTTGCCCAGGGTCACACAGCTAGTACGTGACAAGTTTCTGTTCTGAGGCCACATTTGAATTCAGGTCCTTCTGACTTCAGGGCTAGTGCTCTATCCACTGCGCCACCTAACTGCCCCTTCAATTTCCAATTCTTGGCTACCACAAAAAGAGCTGCTATAAATATTTTTGTACATATGGGTCCTTTTCTTGTTTTTATCTCTTTGGGATACAGACCTAGAAGTGATATTGCTGGATCAAAGGTTATGTACAATTTTATAGCCCTTTGGGCATAGTTCCAAATTGCTCTCCAGAATGGTTGGATCAGTTCACAACTCCACCAACAATGCATTAGTGTGAATGAGTGATTTTGGAAAGAGAATTATCTGAAAGATTAAGTGACTATTGGTGTACTATGTGAAGTAAAATGTCAATGCTAAACAGCAACTGTTGTGAAATTTTCCTTCTCCAGGATACCTATTACTTCAAAAGGTCTTGCAACTGAGGGTATGAGAACTCTGTCAGTTTAGACATTTCTCTCCTAAACTAGAAATGCTTGGATTAAGAATAACAATAAACAAATTAAGAATGGTTCTATACCTGAAAAAAGGCTTATACCTAAAATGCTGAGTGTAGGACTAATGCTATATATATATGTATATATATGTATGTATATATGTACACATACACATACATATATACATACACACACACATACATACATACATACATACATATATATTATATGGCATTTATGTATTATATTATATTAATAGACATTAGTCCTATAGTATATATATATATATGTATATCTATATATGTAGATATGTATATCTACATATATATATGTGTGTGTGTGTATATATATATATATTTTTTTTTTGTTCAATAGCAAGTAATATTGTATATGTAAAGAACAGAAGAATAGCAGTCCTGGATCTGCCACTGATCAATCTTCCCCTCTCTAAGCCTCAAATACTTGATCTGTAAAATGGGGATAATGAATCTTGTACTCCCTTACTGTACTGAGTAGTTGTAAGGATCAAAAGAGGTAAAGGAGATTATAAAGCACTCTGGGATTTCAAGAGATTCTCTTCATCTGGGCTTTTTTTCAAGTAGGGTGTTGTCAGTGCATCAACAAAAAACTTGTTGAGTTGTTTCAGTTGTATCCAACTCTTTGTGACCCATTTGGGATCTTCTTGGCAAAGGTACTGGAGTGGTTTGCCATTTCCTTCTCCAGCTCATTTTACACATGAGGAAACTGAGTCAAACAGGGTTAAGTGACTTGCCCCGGGTCACACAACTAGTAAGTGTCTGAGGCCAGATTTGAATTTGGGAAGATGAGTCTTCCTGATTCCAAGCTCCATCCACCATGCCACCTTAGATATTCACATATAAATGAATCATTAAGGCCCAGAGGCAGGAAGGGAGGCAGGGAGGCAGGTGGAGTAGAGCACTGGGCAGCCTAAGGGATGGGGATGGTCAGTGCAGGGCAGCTAGGTAGCCCAGTGGACAGAATGCTGGGCCTGAAATCAGGAAGCTTTATCTTTGTTGTTGTTCTTGTCGTTGTTCAATTGTTCAGTCATATTTGACTCTTTGAGACCCCATGGACCATAGAGTCAAGCTCTTTTATCTTCCACCATCTCTTGAAGACTGTCCAAGTTCATGTTCATTGTTTCCATGACATATCTATTTATCTCATCCTCTGCCGTCCCCCTTTCCTTTCACCTTCAGTCTTTCCTAACATCAGGGTCTTTTCCAATGAGTCCTGTTTTCTTGCTGAGTTCAAATCTGTCCTCAGACACTTACTAGCTGTGTGACCCTGGGCAAGTCACTTTACCCTGTTTACCTCAGTTTCCTCATCTGTAAAATGAGCTGGAGAAGGAAATGGCAAACCACTCCAGTATCTTTGCCAAGAAAACCCCAAATGGGGTCATGAAGAGTCAGATATGACTGAAAAACTACTCAACAACAATAACAAATGACCTAAGGTATCTCATATAACCTCTCTGGGCCTCAGTTTCTCTGTAAAATCAATCACTGGACTAGATGGTTTCTAGCACCTAGTACATTAGCAGGCCCATAGTAGGCATTCGATAAATGTTTATTAAATTATTTAAGTGAACTGAATCTCTAAGGTCCCTTTCAGTGTTAGAATGTCGGTTTGGCAAGAGCAGTATTATATGTGGGTGATTAGCATAATGCTGTTGCAACATTAAGATGGGTCTTGAGATATTTTATAGTCTAAAAGAATAATAGAATATTTTGCCTCAAGTGTTTTGGTGGCTTCAAATCATTGATAATGAGAGAAATGCAAGTTAAAGCAGGTCTGTGTTCCAATAAAAGACCCATCAGATTGAGAAAGCTGAAAATACAGGGATGGTGACAAATGTTGGAGGGGCTGAGGGGAAAGAGGCACATTAATGCCCTATTAGTGCTATTTGGGCTGTGAATTAGCACAGCTATTTTGGAAAGCAATTTGGATCTATGCCCCAGAGGTTACCAAATCATGCATATCCATTGACTCAGTGATACCACTGTTAGGTCTATACCACAAAGAAATCAAAGAGGAAATGGAGCCACATGTGCAAAAATATTTATAGCAGCTCTTTTTATGGTGGCAAAGAACTGGAAACAAAGGAGATGCCCATCAATTGGGGGATGGCTGAAAAAAGTGACAATATATGAATAGAACAAAAAATAAAATTATGAAAAGGGATGGCATTAGACAAATTTGGGAAGACTTGTATGAAATGATATAGAGTGAAGTGATTAGAACTAGGAGAATAATTTATAAAATAAAAACTATTTTAAAGATGAAAAAATTTTGAGACTTGAGAACTCTGATAAACCCAATGACCAGCCAGGATTCCAAAGGACCCATGATGAAGCATGCTACCCACCTCCTTACAGAGAAGCAATAACTCTAGGTGAAGAGTGAGACATGCATCTTTTCAACATGATCAATGAAAGAGGATGTTTTGCTTGACTATAAATATTTGTTATCAATGTTTTGTTTTTCTCTTTTTCCTTCTCAGTGGAAAAAATGTGTGTGTGTGTGTGTGTGTGTGTGTGTGTGTGTGTGTGTGTAGGAGTGGTAGGGAAAAAAATAAATGTTTGTTAATTGAAAAAGATATCAATAAAACCTTAATTTAAACAAAAAACCCTTTGGGATAGGTTGTACAAGTACTACTATTTCAAATGAGAAAAATTAGCATTCAGAGAGGAGAAGTTTGACTAATGTCCTAAAACTAGTTTCAGAACCAGGATGTGGACCCAGAACTTCTGACCCCAAATCTAGGACTTCACAACTACATGAAAACATGTTTGAGGACTTTGATGACCCATGAGTTTTTGTGTGAATACCCTGCACTAATGCAGACCACAGCTCCCCCACAGGTTGCCGGACTCATACAAATCCGTGCCCTGGAGGCCAGTCCTTTAGTGGGGAGCTTCTCCACCCAGAGCTGGGCTGGTGCTCATATACCAGACACCTTCATATAGGCTGTTCCTCAGCCTTGTTTTTCCTTATTTATTTTTTCTGGGAGAGGAGGATTAATTGGGCCATAAGGCCAACAGGAGGGAGTGTGGGGAGATCCATACTTGAAGACTTTCCGTCTCACAACACCTGCCAAAGCTAGTTCTCCACTGGTCTGGTCTCTCAGGAATCAGGGCCTTCCTTATGCTACATCAAAGCAAAAATAAACCTTTACTTGTGTAGAGGGTTTTATGTTTTACAAAGGGCATTATCATTTACAAAGTGTTTTAAAGCTTACAAATCTTTTTGTAGTTTATAATGTTTTGTAGTTTGTAATTTATAATGTATATTTTACAATGTGCTACATAGCTCCAGGGATTAGTGCTTGGCCCTATGCCTTTTAATATTTTGTCAATTACTTGGACTGAGGCAGGGACAGAATGCTTCATCAGATTTGTAGATGACACTAAGCTGGGAGGGACAGCTAACACAGTCTATGACAGAGCTAGCATCCAAAAAGGTCTCGACAGGCAAGAGTCCTAGGCTGAATTGAGTAAAGATCAATTTCCTAAGTACAGGATGGTGAGCAGTTTGTAAATGGGGGTTTTAGTGGGCTGCAGGCTCAACGTGAGCCAGCAGTATGGCGGGACACGCAGCCCAAAAAGCTACCGCCATCATGGGCTCCGTGAAGGGAGGCCCACTTTCCAAGAATCAGGCGGTAATGAAGGCCTAATTGTAGCTTACCCTGGACAGAGCTCATCTGGAAGGTTGGTTCAGTTCTGGGAACCCCAGTTTAAAGACACTGGTGAACTCAAGAACCCCTGGAGAGAGCTACCAGGATGAATGGTGAAGGGTCTTGAGTCCAATGTTACATGAGGATCATCTGAAGCTGAGGATAGTTAAGGGAAGAGAAGACTGCAGGGAACATGAGAGCTGCCTTTAAGTATTTGAAGGTCGGTCGTGTGGAAGCAGGATTGCTCTTGTTCTGTTGGGCCCCAGACGGCAGAACCAGGAGCAGTGGGTAGAATGTTGCAAAAAGGCAGATGTAGGCTTGGAGTCATGAAAACCTTCTTAAGAATCAGAGCTAAAAGTGGAATGGGCCACCTTGGGAGGCAGTGGGTACCCTCCTTTGTGGAGGTCTTCATGAAGGGGCCGGGGATTTTGTGACATTATTACTACTAACACTGCTACTATTATTCCTGTTGTTGCTATTATTACAATTATTATCATTATTACTATTGTTGCTAATTAGGATTCCTTTGGGTTATGGGCTGGGGCTAGATGGTTTCTTCTAACTCTAAAATTCAAATGTTTTCATGTTGTCTCACTAGATCCTCACAGTAGGGTAGCCTAGGGAGGGAGAAGGCAATCATTATCCTCATTTTATAGAAGAGGCAGCTAGAGTGCCAGGCCTGGAGTCAGGAAGATTCATCTTCATGAGTTCAATTACTAGCTGTATGACCCTGAGTAAGTCACTTCACCCTGTTTTGCCTCAGTTTCCTCATCTGTAAAATGAGTTGGAGAAGGAAATGGCAAACCACTCCAGAATCTTTGCCAAGAAAATCCCAAATGGGGTCACAAAGAGTTGGACACAACTGAAAAATGACTGAACAACAACCACATTTTGCAGAAGAGGAAATTGAAGACCAGAGCAGGTATCTGGTATGCCCAAGTAGTAAGCAGCAGGCCCAGACCCAAGAGCTCATGCCTCCCAAATCTTAGCCCACTACTCATTCTGTGGCACCACAGTCAGGTCCTGCCAAATGAAGTTGCCAAAGGAGATAAACTGCAGCATGTTTCTCTTAGGATCAGAGTGCAGCCTTGGTGGAGACTGGAAGAATCAATTTCTACTTACTTTTGCAATCTTCTGGCCGCTGATATTCACAGTACACAAATCTGTAGGTCTCTTTACACTGTGGTGCTTCAGCTGGAAAAGCAAACAACAGTTAGCTCTTTTCATTACCACTCAAATAACAAGAGAGTTCTTTAATCAAAGTGCGACGCTGGAGGCCTTTCCAAAATGCCAAATGTACACAGGCAATGTCATTCAGCCCACAGCAGTGCACAGCACGGTCATTTGGAGTTGTGCAGAAAAAAAAAGAAAAAAGAAAAAAGAAAAAAAATCCCCAATCCTCCCAGATGGAGATAGAAGGGACCTTAAAACACAGGACACAGAATGTTAAAACTGAAAGCTCATTTAATCCAGCCAGTTCAGTTCAATCTAATTCAACAAGCACTCATTGGGGAGGCCACAGAGACAAAAATGAAATATTTCCTGCCCTCAAGGAGCTTACATTCTCCTGGAGAGGTAGAATTTACACACACATAAGAAAATACAAACTGATTTCAGGAGGGAGAGAGTTCTAGCAGTGGAGTGGGTCAGGAAAGGCCTCACATAGGAAGTATGAACTCAACTGAACTTTCAAGGAAGCTAGGAATTTTAAGGGGAGGGAGTGTATTCCAGGCCTGGGGGGACAGCCCGTGCAAAGGTATGGAGGTAGAAAGTGACACGTGCCAGTTTGGGGAACAATTAGTAGGTCAGTTTAGCTGTGACATAGAATGTGTGGAGGGAAGTAGTATGAAATAAATATGGAAAAGTAGTTGGGAACCAGCTTGCTGAGGGCCTTAAAATGTCAGGTGGAGGAGTTTATCTTTTATCCTAGACACAGTAGGAGGCCACTGAAAGTTTCTGAGGAGAGAAATGATATGCTCAGACCTCTATCTCAGGAGTCTGGTAGCCCTGTAGAGAGTGGATCGGAGAGGAGAGAGACTAGACGCATGGAGACCAGTTTTAAGTAAGCTACTGCAATGATCAATGCAAGAGGTGACGAGGACCTAAGCTAGGGCAGTGTTGGCACGAGTGGAGAGACGGGTACCAATGTGAGGAATGTCATGGAAGGAGAATTGGTAACTGATTGAATGGGGGGGAGAAGGAAAAGAGAAGACTAGAGGGTAACTTTGAAGGACAAACCTAGGGAACTGGAAAGATGGTGGGGTCTTCAACTGATCTGGGGAAGTCTGAAGGAAGGAAGGATTCAGGTGGGGTGGGGAGGAATATAATGAGTTCTATCTATGATGCTGATGGGATATCCAGGTGGAGATTTTCAGTAGCAGACGGTGCTGCAGGATTGTAGTTGCCCCCTAAACTCATCCTCTTCTCCAAATTTCTCTATTTCTGTTTTTTGTTATTGTTCAGTCATTTTTCAGTCATGTCCAACTCTTCATGACCCCATTTGGGGTTTTCTTGGCTAAGATACTGGATTCGTTTGCCATTTCCTTCTCCAGCTCATTTTACAGATGAGAAACTGAGGCAAACATGGTTAAGTGACTTGCCCAGGACATCTGAACTCAGGAAGTTGAATCTTTCTGACTCTAAGCCCCGTGTTCTATCCAATGTGCCCCCTCGCTGTGCTATTTTTATTTAGAGTATCACTATCTTTTCAGCCACCCAGGTTCAAATCCTCAACATAATCCTTGACCTCCTCTCCTTCACCCTCCTCCCTCCATATAATCAATCGTGAAGATTTATTGATTCTACTTCCTTATCTCTCACATCTGTGCTCTCCTCTCACAGAGAATTTGGGCTTTCATAACTTCTCACTTTGTTGCACCAATTGGCAGAGCTTTCTAATTGGACTCCTAGCTTGTGGTCTCCCCTACTCCCCACGCCAATTCATCCTCAACACAGCTGCCAAAACAATCTTTTTAAACCAAAAGTCAGCTCATGTTGCTCTTTTATTGAAGAATCTTCAGGGCTTTTTGGACAAGAGTTCTCAACCTGGGATTCATGGACACTGCCCCCTTCCCCCCAAAAAAGAGCTTTGTGGATAGTTTTTTTTTTTTTTTTTTTGTTTTGTTTTTGGCTAGGCAATGGGGTTGAATGACTAGCCCAGGGTCACACAACTAGTAAGTGTTAAGTGTCTGAGGTCAGATTTGAACTCAGGTCCTACTGACTCCAGGGCCGGTGCTCTATCCACTGTGCAATCTAGTTGCCCCATGTGGAGAGTTTTCAGAGGGTTTGTGAATTTGCCTTTTCAATACCTTGTAACTGTATGTCGATTATAATTGGTTTCCTTTTCATCATACATATTTTATTTTATGCATTTTAAAGCATTATTCTGCAAAGGGGTCCATAGCTCTTCACCAGCCTGACTGCCAAAGGGGTCTTTTTTCTTAAATAAAAGAGTTTAAGAACTCTAAGATAAATGACAATTTGTTAGTGTGGCAAGTAAAGACCTTCACAATCTGACTTTAGCTTACCTTTCCAGGCTTATTTCTTTGTGGACTTAACAATTCAGCCAAACTGGCCTACTCTGAACTCAGAAGTCATATCTGGCCTCTGTATTTTTGGATCCCCTATACCTGGAATGCTCTTCATCTTTACCTCTACCTCTTAGAATCCCTGGCTTCTTTTCAAGGCTCAGGTCCTGATTCTCCTAGGCCAGTGTTGGGGAACCTGCAGCCTCCAGGCCACATGTGGCCCTCTAGCTCCTCAAGTGCAACCCTTTGACTGAATCCAAACTTCACAGAACAAATCCCCCCTTAATAAAAGGATTTGTTCTGTAAAACTTGAACTCAGTCAAAAGGCTGCACCCAAGGACCTAGAAGGCCACACATGGCTTCTAGGTCACAGGTTCTCCACCCCTGCCCTAGTTCTTTGTTCTCTCTCCCTCCTCAAATAATCATTTATATATTTATTCGCTTATATATTATATTCTCAACACCCCTTCCCCCACATAAGCTTCACCAGGGATTGTTTTTTGTTTTATATGTGTATGCCCAGCACCTAGGGCAGTGCCTTGCACATGTATTAAGTAGGCACTTAATAAAAGCTCATTTTCCTGGATTAGAGCAGGAGTTTTTAACCTTTTATTGTGTTATGGGTTTGTCTGGTAGTCTGGTGAAACCTGTGGACCCTTTCTCAGAATAACGTCTTTAAACACATAAAATAAAATATATAGGGTTACAAAAGAAACCAATTATATTGAAATATAATTATCAAAATATTAAAAATACACACACAAGTTCATAGACCTCAGGTTAAGAACCTTAGATCAGAGAGAGATTAGCACTGGATATATAATTTTAGAAGATGATAATTAAACCTTGGGAGCTGATGAAAGAGAACAGAGAGACAAAAAGGTGTTAAGTATGGAGTTTGGGGGACCACCATATTTATTGGGTGCTGGATGGATGGGGATATAGTGAAGGAGACTAAGGAGGCACAGGCAGACAGGAAGAGAACCAATACAAAACAGTGTTTTAAAAGGCGGAAACTGAGGCCAATGAAGAGAAGGAGCTTGCCCAATATCACACCTAGTCAGCAAATGCTGGAACTATATATTCATCTGATATCAGGCAGATTACTTTTCCCACTTTATCATGCTGCCTTCCCCATAGCTTCCCACACTAACTGATGACCTCTCTTTATCTAGTTATTAGCATGACTCAAAATAGAGAGAGAAGAGGATTTCCCAATGCATCATGACTGTTGGACAATCTCATCTATCTAGTTTCTGTACAGCATCCTACTTGAGAAGCAGAGCCAATGAATTACTTAGACAGTGGAGCCATCTAATAGCCATCTAAAAGGAATTTATTTGGACCTAAATACTGTTCATTTACTCATTCATTCAACATTTGTTGAATACACCTGGCACAGATATCTAGCCACTAGGTATATGAAATCATAGAATTGTAGAATTGGAAAGGACATTACAGGTCTAGTTAAGGATAGTATAATCCCTAACTAAAATATAATTTATTACAACCCAAGAAATGATCATCCTATCTCTGCTTACATATCTCTAGTGATAGGAAGCTTACTGTATTGCAAGGCAGTCCATTCCATTATGGAACAGCTAATTGTTAGGAAGTTCGTCTTTATGTTGAGCTAAATTCTGACTCCCTATAAGTTTAATAATTCAATTCAATAAATATGTATTAAGTAGAGGGCCTTGTGCTTAGCACTAAAGACACTTCTATTTCTAGCCCCGACCTCTCTTCTGAGCTCTAGATCCACATCTCTGACAAATTACAGAAAATTTCCACCTGCATGTGTCACTGGTACCTCAAACTCAATATATTCCAAGGTCAAATTTATTATCTTTTTTAAAAGCCTTTATTATAAACTTGATAATCATCCATAAGAATAAAAATAAATATGCAAAAAGGAATAAAATTATACATAGGCCATTAATATAGAGAGCCCAATATTTTAAGAAAAATCAAATAAATACATGAAAAATAACCCACCAAAAATCTGTTTACCTTATATTCTCTTCTAAGTCCACTTGATATTTTTGTTCACTATTCTATGTAAGGGGAGGTAGCCAGTTGATTCACTGATCATTTTGATGAGTTCTCTAATGAAGTGTTAAAATTACAGGGTACCCTTTTGTTTGGTGCTAAGGGGCACCTTCCCATGATATGCCCATTGGGATCTGACAGGATACAGGGAATTCAAACTGATTCATGGACAGACTCAGGAGGATGACCTCTCATTGTAGGACTGTCCCTCTACGTGGTAAAGCCTTCCATCTTTTTTGCTTGCTTGTACTCATGGACTTTGAGAAGACAAACCAGTATGTAGTAAAGTATATTTATGTTATTGAAGGAGTGGAGGAAGGAACCTATGCCCATGCACTATTGCTGCCCCCCAGGAATGTGATAGTAACCTACAGCAGAAGCATATGGCAGAGGTGGACACGTGCTTACACTCAGCTTGAGAGGAAACTATGAGGAAACAAGTTCTATCTCCTGAGAGAAATTAATGATGACTCAAAGGCAAAAGCTTATGGTGGTCTGCACATGTTTGTCTCAGTGGCCCAAGAAAGAAGTACCTGGACCTCAAATTCCTGGCCATATTCTATCTTTCTATTTGTTTTCCTGACCACAGGTTGGAGACCTAAGAATGGACTTTCCCAG